GTTAAACTTATATTAAAGTTTTTCTTCATTACCCATTCAAGCCGTCTCCAGCCATTATTAGTCTCAAAGTGGGTTCCTCGTCATCGAATTTACCTATGAAGTAATATAACTTAAAAAATATAAATTATAAGTACAATTACTTAATGACATTATTATTATTATTACTATTGCTTATATCTATAATATAACTAAGTTAGTACTAATACTAATACAATACAAAAGAATCATTACACATTACAATCCATACAGTTTAAGATAAAGGTAAATTCCTTTTTTAATGCTAGTCATGGACTTAAGTCTAAGAGATAACTATTCACATTAACTATAAAGATTAATACTACAACTTTTTATGTTTAGCTTTAACTTTAACTATGCTAACCGAATATATTAATAATATATTATTAGAAACTTTGAGATTTATTAAAATTAGTACAAATAGTAATGCTACACAAAAGAATCATTACACATTACAATCCATACAGCTTAAGATCAAGGTAAATTGCTTTTTTAATGCTAGTCATAGACTTAAGTCTAAGAGATAACTATTCACATTAAATATAAAGATTAATACTACAACTTTTTATGTTTAGCTTTAACTTTAACTATGCTAACCGAATATATTAATAATATATTATTATAAACTTTAAGAGATTTATTAAAATTGACACGAATCCTTTGCAGTTATGAAAATAGTTTCGTAGCTATTTCTATTCGCAAAGTGGAGTCTTGCTAATTTGACAGAACACCACATACCTTTAGAAATATTAGCAAAACTTAAACCAGTATTCCAAGAAACTGAAGAAGCTAATAATCTACGAACTGCCATTTTGTTAATTTAATAATTTTCATACCCTTACTTACGCGGCGGGCCTTAGTAAATCTAAAACGAGGTTTACAAGATTGAACGAAATTTTAACACCTATACTTCAGTTACATATAAATTTTCAAAATGTTTTCAAAGCTAGAATTAACAATCCAAATACACTAAAAAGTTTTTTTCCCGTGTTTTACACAAAATAGTGTGCGACATAAAAACGATAGATTTCAATGCAAAAAACAAAACATGTTATAAGTAACTGTGCATAGTATCCAAATACCACAATCTCAGTATCCCAAATATTGACTTGTTACGCAGAAATCTAATACAAGAAATTTAGGAGCACACGCAAAAGTTAAATGAATCTAAAAGTACATAAAATCTACGGGAAAACTTTAAGAGTTCTTGTGGAAAGTTAAAGAAGGCTGAAAGTCACATAAAATCTAAGTTATTTAGCACAAACTTGAACTTAAATACACCAATTAGTCTCAACTTTTTAGCATCGATATGCAGATATATCATATGTTTTCTACCTGTTTTACCTATAAAATAATTTCTAAAAATTTTCATTCATTGAGTTTCTATACAGTTTTAACACAAACATGTGGTCTAGGAAACTGTCGAATTTTGTCTTGTTCTAGTTGCTTTCTCTATAGCATATAATACCTACTCTACCTGAGAGGATATAACATTCGTTAGAAAGGATTAGCACTATAATATCATTTGGTGGCCAAGTTGATACTGTCTGAATGCAAAATCTAATAAATGCTGTGAGAGAACAAAGGTCATGAGATGATGCTGTTGACTGGACAAAGAAAACAAGTTTACTTGTTGAATTCGGGTGCGCTTTCCTGAGTCAGTTCTATTAGAAGATAGCCGAGTGAAGATTGTTTTTGAAAATCATCGTGTTTTAATCCTACAGAGATCAATACCGAGAAAGTGAAAGCTATGGAAAGTATAGTCTAACAGAAAAGACTGTCTTTTTGTGTGTTCCAGTACATACTTGTCGAGAAATTGGTTTTACTTGAAAATATTTAGATAGCGGGAGGTGTACAAACTGAGGATGTGACCATCTTTAGATATTGTCTGATTCGCTGACAACAATAGCTTAACTCATTAATTAAATGTTACATTATTCCTGTAAGAGAACCAAACAGTTTGGTATTTACACACAAAAATACATTTGCTATTTAGAGAAAACTAAAGTTAATAACTGTGTCCAGAGGGAAGGATATAAAATGAAATAATTTTAAATTCTTACTTTTAAACTAACAAAGAAGGAAAGATATAGTAACATATCCCTTTACTACGGAATGTTGAGCTTAAACAGTCTAGTTGAAGGTAACTAAACCAGCAGAAGTGACTGTCCAGTATCCTTAAAAGCAAATACACATCCTATGTTTATGTCTATGAGTAAACAAAGACTGTTTACTTGTGGCCTGCAGGAACACAGCTAGATATTTAATATTACTTCATAATAAATATATTGTAGAACCTCCTGTTATTAAACAAACTTATATCATTTCTCTGAGCAGGGCCACTGGGACATATTTTGCTGCCCTGTGCAAAATCTGAATGTGTTGCCCACCTCTCAACAATTTTTTTGTGAATCACCTGAAGGCGGCAACAGAGTTATATTCTAGCTGCATGCTTTACCATAGAATGCTGATTCTGTCTGATGGGAATTTTTTCTTTTGCCTAGGGAGCAGCTGGTAAATAGAACCAATGTTTTCACATTCATTTTCGTCACCCATAAAAACCTGCCATTCTGTGCAAATAAATGTGCTATATTGGCTCTAAGGCTAACTTGGTTTTATTTGAAACTACCACAATATGTAGTAATTGCATAGTACAACTATCATAATAAATCCTTTATTCTGCAGTTTCTTCACATTATAAACACAGAAGGAAAATTTTCCAAATAAATGAAAAAATTGAAAATCTCATCAATTGCTTTAAGAAATTACATCCTCAAGGTGTATTATAAATTTAATATCCCATTTTATATCACAGAGTTTAAAATTTCAACTAATGGGCCACTACTGGCAGGAAGCACTGTGACTGTTCTAAATTAATGAGTCACAATCTGCATATATGGGTCTTCACTATTGTGCCAAAAAATTAAGAGGGCCTTGAGGTGCAAAGTTTGAGAAACCCTGGTAAATATTGCAAGAAAATATAAACATGTCAATATAAATAATTTCTTGTTACTTTTACTATGCATGTGCATTGTTACATATCTGCTTGTTTATTCAATTGCGATAGAAATTCTTTTCGAGGAACTTCAGTAATACAAGTCATTTCTTGATCAAACCAGTTTATTCTTTCTCGATATAAACTTTTAGTACACAGCAATTCCACAGCCAGTACGTTTCTCGTCACTTTAAACTTAACAACATTTATAATACATGCTATAAGTCACAGCAATTCACAATCTCGATATCTTTGCTCTCTATGAGTGCAAAACACACTAGCTCGAAACAGAATCGTAAATTACCCGAAACTCAGTGTAACTACTGTTTGCTTTATCTATGTCTTCAATCCAACTGTTTTTTTTAACAGGGTTATATACTAAAAAGAGGGCACTTCGAATGCACTGAGGCCTTCATGATCATTCGAGAACTTCCACGTTTCTTCTTTCGTACTGGTCTCCATCTCATTGGCTTCTGCATCATGTGGGGTTCATCTGCTCCATCAGGAAATGTTCTATTATTGAAAATGAACAAGAAGAGAGACTACAGCAGTGGTTGGAGGAGAAAGAAAATAAACAAGAAGAAAGTCTCCAACAGTTGAGAGAAAAACAGAGTACACAAATGGAAAACATTAGAAAATTTCAAAGCAAATTAAATGCATTAAAGGATGATTTACTGTATTTTACACAAGGAGGATATATTAGCCATCGACCTAATCAGCCTCAGACAACGGGAAGTCCCTTCTAGATCCCAGAGCTAAACCCTAATGCAGACATCTTCAATCCTGTCAGAAGTCACATTCCAGATATGAGTGTCAGCAATAGGGGTGATCTAGTAGGAAGGATGCCACAGGAATTCGATGTGAAGGCACCGTGGGAAGCATATA